ACATACACACACACACACACACACACACACACACTCACACACTCACTCACTCACTCACTCACTCACTCACACACTGGCAGCTCTTGTCTCATCCCTGACAGAAGACTTCGCCAGCCCCGACAAAAGGAAATGCCTAAATGTGGTAGTGTGCACGCCGTATAAAGATCGTTTAGGAGAAATAGTATGTGTATAACGCCCCTATTACGTTATGGAGAGGGTGTCTAGAAAGTTAATAGTTTTATGTCGTTTTAACTCGGCTGCGTTTGACTTGTTTTATTTGACCCGTCAATACGAATTTTGCTAGAAAGAACCGTTGATACGTAAGAATGACAAAAAATAAATCAGTCGTGTTTGAAGGGAACGACAGTAGTTAGTTGTCGTATAAGGCACATATGAATAAAAGTCAGCTGTCTTTTTTTTTCCCCAGGTGGTTTACGTCGTTTATCCTCAAGGCCTTCCTCCTTTGTTCCTGTCAACCAACGTCCTTATATCTCCTCCTGCTTCCTATCAAATATCTATCGTATTTTTTCTCCTCTTTCTTCCTATCACCCTCTTTCTTCCTATCAAATATCTATCGCCTTTTCTTCCTCTCTTGCTTCCTATCGAATATCTATCGCCTTTTCTTCCTCTCTTGCTTCCTATCAAATATCTATCGCCTTTTCTTCCTCTCTTGCTTCCTATCAGATATCTATCGTCTTTTTTATCCTCTTTCTTCTTATCAAATATCCATCGTCCTTTAGCTTCCCCCTTTCTTCCATATCAAGTATCTATCGTCCTTTGTCTTCCCTCTTTTTCCTATAAAACTTTAGCTGTTGTCCTTACCTTTTCTTCTTTTTCACTATCAAAAATCTATCAAACGTCTACCTTCCATCCTTTTTACCTGTTAAACATGTCTTTTGTCCTTATCTTCCCTGCTTTCCCCGATCAAACATCTGTCATCCTTAGTTTCTCTCCTTTTTCCCTGTTCAACTTCCGTCATCCTTATCTCCCCTCTTTCCCCCTAGATCTATCAAACATCTGTCATCCTTTGTTTTGCCTCTTTCCCCTATCTCTCCTTTCTCTTATCTCTCCTTTTTTCCCTTTAAAACATCTATCGCCCCTCCCTTTTTCCTCTCAAACATCTGTCGCCCCTCCCTTTTTCCTCTCAAACATCTGTCGCCCCTTCTTTTTCCTATCAAACACCTATCGCTCCTACTTTTTTCCTATCAAACATCTACCGTCCGTGTCTGCCTTGCTTATTTCCTTCGTATATTACTTCTCTAGTAATACCTCTACTCTTCGCTTGTATGAACTAATAGTGTTACATAGGGTACAAAAACTCTTACAACAACTTCTGAAATTAATTAAACGTGGTCTTCATTTGGACAGGAATCAAAGTGTCAATGTCAAGGCAGAATGTGAGAGACCCTACTCACCCAAGTGTTCACTGTGCTCTTTGTTGTCTTCACTCTAGATGTGTCTCTGCGCGGCTGGGACCAGAAATGTCCACCCAATCCTCAGACCA